AGACTGCGTTTCGCACCCGCTACGGAAGTTACGAATTCACCGTGATGCCTTTCGGCCTCACGAACGCGCCTTCGACCTTTCAGTTGACCATGAACAGGGTTTTTCAGGATCTTCTAGACCGATGCGTGATCGTCTACTTGGACGATATCCTCATTTTTAGCAAGACACGGGAGCAACATCTCCGCGACCTTGACGCAGTGTTTAAAAGTTTGCAGGAGAATCGACTCATCACCAAGGGCTCTAAGTGCAAGATTTTTAAGCAAGAGTTGGAGTTTTTGGGACACGTTATCTCACGCGACGGCATTAAAATCGACCCAGCGAAAATCAAGACCATACAAGAGTGGAAGTTCCCGACGAACATCACGGAGCTGCAGAGTTTTCTGGGGTTCGTGAATTACGTCCGGCAGTTTATCCCAAATATGGCGGGGATAACTGGCCCGCTAACCGACCTGCTGCACAAAGACAGGAATTTTGTGTGGGGGGAGGAGGCAGAAGCGGCTTTCCAGGAGTTGAAAAAATTCCTGGTTTCCCCTCCTGTGCTGCGCATCGCCGACCCATCGAGGCCATTCGAAGTCGTCACCGACGCCTCCGATTTTGCGATCGGAGCTGTGCTACTCCAGGATTTCGGGAACGGACTGCAGCCAATAGCTTACGAGTCACGCAAGCTGCAGGCAGCCGAGCACAACTACCCGATTCACGACAAAGAAATGCTCGCCATTATCCACGCATTCAAACTGTGGCGATGCTACCTGGTAGGCGCCGACGTCACTGTTCGCACGGACCACAAGTCCCTCCAATATCTGCGAGCTCAGCCCAACCTCAACCCGCGACAAATTCGGTGGCTGGACTACATGGAGAGCCACTTCACCTACCGCATCACGTACAAGAAGGGGGCAAATGACATTGCCGACGCCCTGACCCGACCGACAGTACAATCCGCTGCAGTACTCATTCACCACTCGAACCCATTACTTACAGGACTTTTCACCCACGGCTACACTACAGACCCGTTCTTCACGACTGGGAACCATCAGCAAGCCACGACGTAGAAAGGGGATTATTACCTAAAAGCCGGAACTGACCGGATTTGGGTTCCCGCTTAGCGGCCGCTGCGTGAACTCCTTATCCAATAGGTCCACGATTCCAACTTCTCCTGACATTTCGGGGTTGATAAAACCCAAAAATTACTGCACCGTCACTATTATTGGCCTGACTCCTCTAACGACGTGCAGCGAAATGTGTCCTCATGCAGGGTGTGCCAGGCCATGAAATCGACATGTCAACGGCCAGCTGGGCTGCTGCAACCCCTCGAGCCACCCGAACGACCGTGGCAACAAGTAACAATGTATTTTGTCACGGGGATGCCAGCTGGACCATCCAGCAACGACGCTGTTCTCGTCGTCGTCGATCGTCTCACGAAAATGGCGCACTTCGCACCGTGTCGTACAGCAATCACAGCCAAAGAGACTGCGCGACTATTCATCTCAACGGTCGTGCGACTGCATGAAATTCCCTCTGCGATCATTAGCGACCGAGACCCGAAGTTCACGTCGAAATTTTGGAAAGAGACGTGGGCGCAATACGGCACGAAGCTACAGTTCTCTTCAGCATACCACCCGCAAACGGACGGCCAGACCGAGCGGACCAATCAGACCATGGAGCAGCTGATACGGACAAACTGCCCCGACCCTGCTCGCTGGGAAGACTCGCTCGCCATGTTGGAGTTTGCCTTCAACAATGCCCCGTCCAGCACGACTAATCACTCCCCGTTCTTTTTAAATTACGGGATGGACCCGATGGTGCCTACAACGACTACACTAGACAATCCAGTCCCACGGTCACAAACATTCGTGACGGAACTCCAGGAAGTTCGAGAAAACGCTGCGAACGCAATTCGCAAGGCGAATACCACTTCCCGAAAATACACCGACCTTTTACGACGGGAACTCGTCTTGACAGCTGGGCAATTAGTCCTACTCGACACGAAGAACCTGCGACTGCCCGACCCATCGAAATTACGGCCACGATTTTACGGGCCTTTCAAGATCATCAAGATGGTGAAACCCAGGGCCTACTTTATCAGTGTAAATCACACTGCTATACTGATGAGAAGGGTGAAATTTAGGGCCTACACTGATGTGTTTGGGTAATTTTTTTGGGGATTAGTGTTACACTGATTTGACAGTGAAACGATTTAGGCCACACTGATGCTCTGGGGTAGATTTTCCCTTAGCGAATATTACCCTTAAGGGCGTAAAGGGCACCCCCCCCTCGAAACTCTACTTATCGAGACGAAGTTTCCTAGAAATTTCGTAACGATACACTCAATTTCATAATGATGCACTACGACGCCAGCACGTGAGTACTGACAACCGACACCGCGTCACTCCATGTCTGCTTGCAACCTACTGTAGAGGCGATGCAACCTGATTGGTCAAATCTGCACTCACTGCAAAAACTTTAACTTTCTTGACTCGGAAATTTGGGACTCGAGGTCCCCAAACCCACGTTCCCCCCGGGAAGCTTGCTGACTCGGCGAAAAAACAAGTGTTGCAGCGAAACCAGACAAGCCACTGCGCTCAACTTTTGAGTTCACAACCCCCACCCACCAGCGCCCAATTTGGGCCTCGAGCTTGGTTGCTGCCAGCACATACTGAGCTGCCTACATTACAATCAGGGTAAAAAAAATACCTACACTGATGCCTCTGTGTTAAGTTTTCAAAAATTCAAGTTACATTGATCCATCAGTGTTTTCAAAAAGGGCACACTGCTCAAAAGGGTTTTGAAAAGGGCTACACTGCTAATCGTGAGTAGCCAAAAACCAAACATAGGCCCTGGTGACACCTGTCACCGCGAAACTGCTGCTACCCAACGACTGGCGTATCCATGACGCTTCCCATGTCAGCTTACTTCGCAAGTTCGTGCCAGCCACGACCGACATCGCCCGGCAACAGGCTGCACCAACGGCACGCCCGGTACCAAAACCGACACTTGACCCGTCCAAGATCTTGGCGCATCGTGTTCGCCTGGATGCCGCTAGCCGCCACGTGGATTTTTTAATCCGTTGGACTGACCGCACCCGTGAAGACGAAACGTGGGTGTCATCCGCTTCGCTTGCAGACTCTCCATTTATTGTTGATTATCTCGCACGCAAGCAAACTGCGGATCTTGACCACCTTTCTTAAGGGGGGGGTAGTGTAAGGAATTTTCCCGAATTCCTTATCGGGGTTGACTGCTTCGCGTACAGCCCCGATTTTCGGACTCTGCATGTTTGGCCGACATCAACGATGCCAAGCCTCCTCGCGTCGCCTTCGGCTTTTCTCTTCGCCAAACCTGCACCCAACCTCACTCACCCGAAGTTCCCTCCTAGCTAGCCTACTCACTATATTAGCGTGTGCCTTCACTGTATAATCAGTCTGTTCAATCACCTTCTCGTTATTCATTAACCTGCGCACCAGGGCCTATGTTTGGTTTTTGGCTACTCACGATTAGCAGTGTAGCGTTTTTCAAAACCCTTTTGAGCAGTGTGCCCTTTTTGGAAACACTGACGGATCAGTGTAACTTGAACTTTTGAAAACTTTACCCAGAGGCATCAGTGTAGGTATATTTTTTACCCTGATTGTAATGTAGGCAGCTCAGTATGTGCTGGCAGCAACCAAGCTCGAGGCCCAAATTGGGCGCTGGTGGGTGGGGGTTGTGAATGTTTGAATTTGAAATGATTGAGTAGGATTGTAATACTTAGGATGGTAGTTTCCTGTCGTAGCGGAAGTCTTGTATGAATTAAAGCCAGTTAAGGAGGCTTTTGTCTGGACTAGTAAAAGCCCATGTAGTGATATGTTTCAGGATCAATGTCTCTGAAATCAGATATATTATAAAATGACAAGCATACAGAATATATAGCTAGAGTAAAGTACATGTTCGTCTACTGTACTGTTCTATTCCTGTTCTGAAACGGTACGTAACTTTTCGCGAGGTCTATAGCTACGTGCTGACGTCTTCCTAGGGCGCGTAGCGCTTTGCTGACGTCAGGCTATCGGTACTTTACTGTACTACACGAATTTCCTTGAAGTGCTTAAGTCTCGATATTATCTCAACAGTGAACTCAAAAGTTGAGCAGCAGTGGCTTGTCTGGTTTCGCTGCAACACTTGTTTTTTCGCCGAGTCAGCAAGCTTCCCGGGGGGAACGTGGGTTTGGGGACCTCGAGTCCCAAATTTCCGAGTCAAGAAAGTTAAAGTTTTTGCAGTGAGTGCAGATTTGACCAATCAGGTTGCATCGCCTCTACAGTAGGTTGCAAGCAGACATGGACTGACGCGGTGTCGGTTGTCAGTACTCATGTGCTGGCGTCGTAGTGCATCATTACGAAATTGAGTGTATCGTTACGAAATTTCTAGGAAACTTCGTCTCGATAAGTAGAGTTTCGAGGGGGGGGTTCCATGTACGCTCTTCAGGGTAATCTTCAGTAAGGGAAATTTTACCCTAGAGCATTAGTGTGGCCTAAATCGTTTCACTGTCAAATCAGTGTAACACTAATCCCCCAAAAAAATACCCAAACACATTAGTGGAGGCCCTAAATTTCACCCTTCTCATCAGTATAGCAGTGTGATTTACACTGATAAAATAGGCCCTGCTGCGCACTCTCTTTTACAACTCATAACAGCCACCTTCCCTTGCACCTATATCTTGTATCTCTCTCAATATTGAAACCCTCCTTTGTTGGCCAACTCCCTCTCACTTCCCAAAACCCCATGGCTCCTAACTACCTTCTAAATCTTGACAAGTGCGGTGGAAACGTTTGATACTCGAGTGTAATGCGGTGCAGAGCGGTACATTGCTTTTGCAACGCCTGAAACGAAGACATGTCTTCGTAGGAATGTACAACTTGTGTCCAAATCAATCTCGCATCCCATTCGGAACCTCTTATGGTCTGAAACCAACCCAAAATCGAGGCTTTGTTCCAACTTCTGAAAACACTCTAGCATTTAACTGTCGCTCCAGTCGCCTATACTCTGGAGAAGCCTTGGCGCATGGCGGCCTGCCATGTGATGTCGATGCGAGCCACATCTATGGCCCCCACCTCATGGTGCTGCCATCCCTCTAGCATGTGCACGAGCCCCCCCGCATGACATGCATGCACCACCCCTCGCTCCAGTTGAAGCTGGGCAATGATGAGGGAGGGAGGGGAGGAAGGGCAAGGGACAGGAGGAGGGTAGACAGCTTGAGCACAGATGCTGCATGGTGGAGAGAGGGATGAATTGAGGAAGGAGGGTGGAAGGCGAGGCCAGAGGCAATGCTGCTGAGTCCTTAAATGTCAGTGGGTGGATAGCCGCATTGCTCCAAGTTGCAGAGAAACACAGTCATTGCAAACCTCCTGGTCATCAAACCGCTAATCGCCCAATGAGAATTTCCCCCAATGCCCCGGCCCCCAACCAATCATCAGTCCATTCCCTCTGCACCCATTCTTTCCCACACCACTCATCCCCTCACCTCGCACGTGTTGATCCCCTCACCTCGCACGTGTTGAGCCCCTCACCTCGCACGTGTTGAGCCCCTCGATGTCTTTGGGGAGTCTCATAGCCGCCAGCTTGCCGTACACGCAGTCCCCCCTGACCTCATCCAGCGGAGGCACCACAAACTGGTGGAAGAAGGTGCCCTTGGGGGCGTGGCTCTGCTGCTTGGCCGACAGCCACTTGCCCACGATCCACTCGCGGCAGTGCGACGCCTGCTTGCACTCCGTCACTTGCACCAGCAGGTGCTGCTTTTCCGCTGGGGCTTCGGATCGGATCGATTCAAACCGCTCCTTGGAAGTGGTTAGCATCTGTGGGGAGGGGTGTGTGGGGTGGGGTGTGTGGGGTGGGCAAGTGGGTTGGTACAGGGGAGAGTCGAGGAAAGGGGGAAGACGATGAAGGTTTCAGCCATTTGCCTACGATCCACTTGCGGCAGTGCGCCGCCTGCTTGCAGTCTGTCACTTGGACTAGCAGTTGCTGCTTGTCTGCCGGGGCTTCAGAGCGAATGGACTCGAACCGATCCTTGGAGGTGGTTAGCATCTGTGGGGAGGGGCGTGTGGGGTGGGGAGGGCAGCAGGGGGGACGGGGAGTGGGTCTGGGAAGGGGAGTAAGCATAAGGGAGAGAGAGCAGAGGTGGGGAGTGTGGGGTGGGGAGTGTGGGGAGGGGTGGGTAGGAACACCTCGTGGGCGTCAGGGGAGATCTCCTGCAGGATGACGTCCCTGCAGCCCCCACCCACCCGCTCACCCACTCACCCACCCACTCACCCACTCACCAACACGTTGGCATCCACCCACACACCCACGCACTCACCAGCACTCTGGTGCCCTTGGAAGCCAAATAGATGGCGATGGCACGGCCCAGCTTGGAGGTGGCTCCGGCGAGGAACACCTCGTGGGCGTCGGGGGAGATCTCCTGCAAGATAACGGCGGCAGTGAGCGTGTTGCCGTGCACCAACCGCAGCTTCAAGTTCGGGTGGCTCTTGAGGAACGCCGTTCCACCCCCATTCAGTGCCTCGTTCTGCAGTTTAGGGAGGAGTTGGTAGGTTAGGGAAGGAGAAGGAGGAGGAGAGAGGGATGCTGGTTGCTGTGAGCGTGTTGCCGTGCACCAGCCGCAGCTTCAGGTTGGGGTGGCTCTTGAGGAACGGTGAGTGGGTGGGTGGGTGGCATAAGTTCAAGGAGGCAACATTTCTTGCTAGAACAGAAAATTGTGGCATACGTGTGCTGCTGTGCACCAGAGTCTACTGAGCACGAGGTGATGCCGCTGCAGTGATGCAATGTGGAGGAAAGGCCTGTGGTTCATGTGTCCTGTTTCTGATGGTTGACCGCAGCGGAAGCTCAAGATTCGTTGTACCAGGCTCTAGGGCCCTCTAGGACTCAACAAGGCTCCGAGGCCCTTGGGGTTTCCTTCCAACTCACCTTGTTGAGGGCGCCCAGAGTGAACACCTGCACGCCCTGCTTGTCCGCCTTGAGAATCGCCCCCTCTATCAGCCGGTTGATCTGCTTCTGCTCGAACCACAGGAAGTACTGCGGTGTGCATGGGAGGGGTGGGGGAGGGATGGGTGGGATGGGAGGGGCGGGGGAGGGATGGGTGGGATGGGAGGGGCGGGGGAGGGATGGGTGGGATGGGAGAGGCGGGGGAGGGATGGGTGGGATGGGAGGGGCGGGGGAGGGATGGGTGGAACGTGGAGAGTTAGGTAAGGAAGATTGCCACCGTTCTACACCTCTCTAACCACCCATCCCATCGTTACCAACTCACGTGGAATCCGAAGCCTGGGAATACCCCAGGACTCGAGCCTCTTTCCCCGGAGGTACGTGTAGGAGTGGGGGAAGGCGGCAGCAAAGGCCCAGCACAGCAGGCAGAGCGTGATGGGGATGAGGAGGAGGAGGCTCACCGCTCAGCACCGCTCAGAACACACAGTTTCCATCCTAGCCTACTCACGTGAAAGCCGAGCCTGGGAATGCCCCATGATTCCAGCCGCTTTCCGCGGAGGTAGGTGTAGGAGCGGGGGAAGGCGGCCGCAAAGGCCCAGTAGAGCAGGCAGAGCGTGACGGAGACGGGGAGGAGGAGGATCTGCTGCGCTGTGATGGCGAATGGCTTGGAGGCGAAGTAGGGCAGGAAGAACGGCATGTGCAGCACCGAGGGGATGGTCATGCCGTGCGCTAGGAAGACGAAATCAGTCTGCTCCTTCCTTGCTGTGAGGGGGGAAGCATGGGGTGGGGAAGGGGTGGAAGGGGGAAGGGCGCGGCGGAGCAGTGGGAGAAGATAAGGTGGCAGAGGGGTGGAGCAGAGCAGAGGGAGGGCCGGGGGCGCAAAGGGACAGGAGAAGGGAAAGATGGGTGGACTGGGGGAGGGAGGGGGGGAACAGGGCGAGGGAACGAGGCAGCAGGACGTACCTTTCCTGGAAGCTTCGTGGAGGGCGTCAGAGTTGGGGTCCCAGGTGCCACCGAGATAGTCGTAGATGGGCATGAAGAGGGAGAAGTTGGTGTGCACCTGCGTGTGATGCAGTGAGTGGAAGCTGGGGAGGGGAAGGGGAGTGGGGAGTGGAGGGTGGGGAGAAGCGGATAGGGAGTGGGGACAGAGGCATGGAAAGGGATGGATGGGCATGAAGAGAGAGAAGTTGGCGTGCACCTGCGTGTGGTGCAGCGAATGGAAGCTGGGGAGGGGAGGGGAGGGCGAGGGAGGAGCACATTTGCTCAGTGCGTGGAAGCTGGAGAGAAGGAGAGGAGAGAGGAGCACGGGATGGGAGACATGGGATGGGAGTTGGGGTAATGGGGAGAAGGAGGTGGGGAGAGAAGGATGGATGGGCATCAAGAAAGAGTAGCTGGTGTGTGCGTGTGGTGCAGCGAGTGGAAGCTGGCGAGGGAAGGGCAGAGCGATGTGTGTGGGGTGGGAGGGGAGGTCTGGGAGTGTGTGTGCGAGGCTTACGAGGGCGTATAAATAAGGTATTTGAGGAGGCAACACGTACGTGCGTGGGGTGTGGGGGGAAGGGATGGGTTGGTTGTGTGTGTGGGGGGAAGGGATGGGTTGGTTGTGTGTGTGGGGGGAAGGGATGGGTTGGTTGTGTGTGTGGGGGGAAGGGATGGGTTGGTTGTGTGTGTGGGGGGAAAGGATGGGTTGGTTGTGTGTGTGGGGGGAAGGGATGGGTTGGTTGTGTGTGTGGGGGACGGTGGGATACGACTGGGATGGGGGAAGGCAGTAAGGCAAGCCAGCAGCTTACGAGGGCGTGTAGATGAGGTATTTGAGGAAGGGTAGCCCGGAAGAGCGAGACGGGGAAGGGGAGGGGGAAAGGGGAGGAGGTGGGGAAGGGGGGTGGAGAGAGAGTGGGGGGGCAGGGGAGTCAGCACTTACGATGGCGTGTAGATCAGATATTTGAGGAAGGGCAGTGCGCGGAAGAGCGAGGCAGGGAAGAACTCGAAGTTGCAGTGGCCCATGAAGTTGAGCGCATCGAAGGCGAGCATGTACGCGTACACGCCGCCCACGGACGCACAGCCCAGCAGGCACGAGGCATAGAAGGGCACCACGAAGACCGCCGCGTACATGAGATGCTCCATGAACGGATGCACCGTCGCTGCAAGGGTGAATGCAGGGGTGTGATTGTCACGAGGATAGAAGGGAGGGGCGGGAGAGAGGGGGAAGGGGACGCAGGGACGGAGGGGTGTGGTTGTTATCATTCTATTCAACACACTGGAGTTTACTTGTATAGGCACTCCTAACTTGACTCGTTCTCCTTCTCAGAATTACCAACATAGCGAGTCACACACCAATAGCGAATCTCGTACCTGTAACGGGTTCGGTCAGGAAAGACGCGTGGTGGTGGCTGTGGTACTTGCTGTAGAGCGTGTGGTGGTGCAGCGCGCGGTGCAGCCAGTAGTAGAGGAACTCGGCGGGGCCGACGTGCATGAGCAGCGTGATGAGCAGCCCGGATGCCGTGCAGGGGGCGAAATTCTGAAAGATCGGCACCCACTCATGGAACACGAAGCCCAGAAGGGCGTTCAGAATAATGTAGTCGTCCCTGTGGTTGTTGGGAGGGGGGGAGAGGGGGGGGGGGGCGGGGAGGGAGGTGGGGTAAAGCAGGAGAAGGCAGACAGCGTGAAGTTCTGGAAGAGCGGTACCCACTCGTGGAACACGAAGCCAAGAAGGGCGTTGAGAATGATGTAGTCGTCCCTGTGGGAAGGAAAGAAGATGGAGGGGGAGAGAGGAGGGGGGAGGGGGAGTGTGGGGAGAAATGGGGGATTAAGGGATTGGTATTCGTAGGAAGAGCAGGAGCGGGAGGGGGGGATAGGAGTAAGGGGCGGGGAAGGGGTGGGGGATAGAGGATAAGGGCGGGGAAGGGCATGTGGATCAGAGGGAAAGGGTGAGGTGGGGAATGCACCTGAGGTATGAACCTGAGGCGTGCACCTGAGGGCGTTGAGAACATTGCAGTCGTCCCCTCAAGGCCCGCGGACGGGGAATGAGGAGAGATGGCCCATGGGAAGTGGGAAGTGAAGAATCGAGTTTTGAGACGTTTCAAAAGAGTTTTGAGTTTTGAGACGTCTCAAAACTAGAATGAGGAGAGATGGCACATGGGAAGTGGGAAGAGAAGAATCAGCATGTGAGACTACCAGCCTCGAGTCTCTCAACAAGCTTTTGTATATTCCTGTTATTTCAACACGAGAACAGGTCGATCTCTCGCCAGAGAAGAGGACAAATTTGTTCCCCACTCCCCGACCGCTACCAGAAACCACTTGGACTTAGGTTCGACCGCTTCGCCTCGAGGCCGGTTCGTACCACGTCGAGGCCTCAGCGCCCTTCGACGAGGCTTCAAAATGCCACTTTAATGAGGCGTCTGCTTTCCCGCCGATCCGGCGCCTAAATACAGTTTTGATAAGACTCTAAACTTTAATTGTATGGGGACGACTACACGCTCTTATGCGAGGCACCTGAATACCCCTTTCATGCATCGCCTTTGTGCCCCGATATGGCGGCACGAATACCCTTCTACCAGGCGCTTAACTGCTGTTACATGAGGCGCGACGTGGTGCTAATCAACGAGGCACCCGACCGATGCCGTCTGCTGAGGCGCCTAAGTGTCCTTGCGCAGTGGCGCACGATGCGATGCACCAAATGCAAGTTCGCCGCCTGAAACGAATTTTGATGAACTTTGCAACGCGCCCTCAATTCCTACTCACACAGCCCCCGGTCGTTCCGCTTGGTGAATACCAGATCCAAGAAAGAAGCGGCAAACAACAACGATGTTCAAACCACCAGTTTTTTTGTCCCATTGCATCTGCTTCAAAGTGACTTCTTTCTGCTGCTTTTTTGTAACGAACCAAATACGACCACTAAAAGAAAAAATCAGGGCAGCAAGGCTCACCAGTTTTCTTCCCGGTCCATTTGCTTGAAATTCACTCCCTTCCGCTGGATCCTGTATCGGGGAACGAGGTGCGGCCAGCGCGATATAGTCATCCACGCCATGCCCACCAGCAGCCGCATCGCCGATGCGATCAGCAGATGCAGGCTGAAATTGTCCGGGTCCTTTCCGCCGTGGAAATTGGCGTCGATGGCTCGAGCTACCAACGGAGCAAGCACCAGGTACTGCGTGGAGGAGGTTTGCGGGAAGGAAAAAGTGAGGGTATAGTGGGTGGTTAATGAGCGTTCCACGTGAACTTGGGAACGCAAATTGGGATTAGAGAAGAGCGTCATCACCTCGTTGCGTTGATGAGATTGGCAGCACGCGGAAGCAGTTATGCGCAATTGTGGGCAGTGCTTTAAGCAGCGAACGCATTTATCGCAAGCGCATGCGGTTGCAATCTAATTGCGTGAAATCTAGCCACAAGATTTCACGACGGTTGAAGATCAGAGTGGAGTTGAGAACGCACCTTGTATCCGCCAAGTGAGTGCCACGGGAACTCGTAGAGCGGTCCAGGCTGAGTCGCCATTGCGACGACTTTTTTAAGACTGTCGCACACGACAGCACGGAGGTTTTGCCTGCAGCGGATCTACAACGATCGCGGCAAGGCAGGCGCTGATCGAGAGCCGAGAGACGTCTCAAATCAACGACGCAGGTCCGTCCTTTGCAAGGGACGAACGTTCCAACAGGTTCCTAATCCTCCGCGTCTCAGTTTCCCGCTTCTCTGCTCCAGATAACGCGAAATGGAGAAAAGAAGCGTGAGACGAAGCCGAGTCGGAACAATGCGAAGGCTTGAGAGTATGGCGGAGCTTACTCCAAGGCCTTTTGTCCTTCCAGAGCGACAGTAAAAAGCCTCAGCTCAGGAGACCAAGAGTGGACTACCAATCAGGCTTTTCCCCAGGGGTGTGCAAATCCAAAATGTGTGTTTTGAGGAGGCCTGTGGCAGCTGAATGGTGGAGAGGGAAAGGAAGGACGCCAAAAATGTGGATGGGGTGGATGAGTGTATGTGGACGAGAAGGGGCGGAATGGGCATGGGGTGGTGGGATGCAAGAACTGTAGAATTTGCGCCTGCAAACGAAATGGGGATGGGGGGCAAATTGCAATGCACTGGCGGCGAGAGGAAACCAGCTGTCGCACGCGTTCAAACTAGGGGAAATTTTGAGGCAGGCGAAGGGCTACATACGAGCATGCGACGCAGGGAGTTCCACATATGCGTGAGAGATTTCCAGGCGAACGGGAAGGTTGGCTCATGACGCTCGGCGACGCAATGTTGGCGACGTTTGCGAAAGCAAATGCGATTCTTTACAACCAACAAGCAGGGTTCTGCGCCTCGTTGGAATTTCGAGCGTGCCTTGTGCGGTGCGGACCGAGGCGCACAACTGACCAGTCCCAAGAAAAAAGGAAATTATAAATTGCCCTGTTTTAGGGTTTCTGATTCTTTTGGGAAGTGGCTTTGACACCGCCTTGCTTCTCCGCTCGTGTCCGTCTCCTTGGGGCAGCTGATTTCGACATTTCCAATTTCTTGTGACCAGGAAAATTCTGAAGTATTCCTGGTTTTAGTTTAGTGGCCAGATGAAAAAATAAACCCCTCTCGGATGGCTGGCCATTTGGGAGGCATCAACCCTAGACACCTTGCCTCATGGTGTTTAGGGTTGATGCCTCCCAAATGGCATGCCCTCCATGAGGGGTAATATTTTTTGTCCCGAGCTTCTCGTAATTGACGCGACAATTCAATTTATGATATCCCAATAAAGAAAAACCCAATATTAGTCTCTGGACTCAAAAAGGGGCAATAGCGTAAATAACTGACCGAAGGTATCGGACGCGAGCGCGAAGCAAGACGGTGTCAAAACCACTGCCAAAATGAATCGGAAACCCGAAACCAGGGCGGTCCGTCATTCCCTCCCCAAGAAACCTGAGTGGGCAGAAAGGCAAGCAAACCCCTTACAGAATTTGATTGCCCCCAAATACGGGCAGGTGAAATCACTTACAGGAAATTTGGTTCAATGATTCCTGAATCCTTCATCCACAGTGTGGGAGGAGCATCCTGAATCTGGCCCACATGATCCACGTCGCTCACCCCCCCCCACAGGCCGCCACGTCCAAATCGGGCGTTGCTGCCATGTTATCCACTTTACCCGGCTCCGATGAAGTACGCTCCGATATCATTCGCATATTCCCCTGCTTTACGAAAATTGGGAAACACTAAAATATTGAGGTGTCTTACGTCGCGTACGGAGCCAGGAAAGCAGCCCCGCTTGAATTTTGCGCCTGCCATCTCGAATCTGCCACAAAATTCAGGGCTTCTTTGACAAGGGTGATAAGTTGGTCCTTCAAGAACGTCAGTCAGCAGAAGTGCACGATACGGGATCCGAGGGGAAAGGATCGCCAAAGAAACGCAAGGCCGAACTCGAAATTTGTGAAGTGTAGTCCCGAGAATCATGGCAGCAGGGCAGAACGATCGCTGTAGTGCCGGGGAACCAACCTGCTCTCACGCGGAGACTGGCGAAGGCACAGGCCGACAGGCGGAAGGCGTTCCGCCGCCGCCTCTCGCTCCCCATGCGACAAACACGGAGCCAGTCACGACAGCAGCTCCGACGGCCATCTCAGTAGCAGTAACAGCGGCGGCGCCTGCATCGACATTAGACCCACGTTCGTCTTCGTCGTCACTAGCATTAGACGGTAACGAGATGAGCCTCTCGTTTGAATCACGCGTGCTGGACGCCAGCGGGGTGTCTGGGCGGCATCAGGTGTCGTGTACTCTCGTGACTGGCTTCCTGGGATGCGGCAAGACCACTCTGCTGCAGGTGAGCGAGGGTACACCGCACGCCTGTACAGGATGTGCACTTGTATATGGCGTTTTACGGTATGTGCATTTACTGGGTGTGAACATGCAGCATGCGTGAGTGCGAGTGCTGGTTCACGCCTCCCCAGCTGTGCAAAGCAGGAAAACCTGCGGGTGGTAATCAAAGACGTTAGGCATCTAGCCCTCAACACCAACCCCCCCGTACCACCCTCAACACCACCCCCCCTTACCACCCTCAAAAGCACCCCCACAACTGTGTGGCTACCTGACCACCTAGCCCCCTCCCCCTTACCCCCTCCTGTTTCCCCCCTACCAGCACGTGTTGAAGGAGAAGGGCCACCTGCGTGTGGCCGTGCTGGTGAACGAATTCAGCCCTGTTGACGTGGACTCCCTGCTGCTCCAATCACAGCGCGCCAACGTGGCAGTTGGGGCGCCCCCTGGTCATGGGGACCTGGCAGGGGGTGAGTGGGGTGAAAGAGGAAGTGTGGGTAAGGGGAGGGAGAAAGAAATGGGTGGGTGAGTCATGAAGGAGTGAGGAAGGACGGGTGGCTGGATATGAGTGTGGGTCAGGGGAGGAGGATTTGGAGATAGCAAGTCAGTGAGAGCAAGTAGGAGCGGATTAGATTAAGACACTGCCACACATGCTCCCTTTCATGCAATCACATGTCCATGCACTCACTCACGTCCCCATCCCACATCCCCATGCACGCACACAACCATGCACGCACACAACCATGCACTCACATCCCCATGCAGTTACATGCCCATACGCTATAATGCCCATGCACTCACATGCCCACCCTCACATCCTCACATGCCTCTGTTCCTCAATCTGCAGGCTGCGCATGTTGCCACGTCAGTGACGGGCTCAAGAAGGCTGTGCGAGCAGCGGTTGGTGGCGCCATGTCAGCATGCGACTACCTCATCTTGGAGGTGAGCGCTCAGTCGTTGCCACGTCAGCATGGGTCGGCCTTCTACAACTGATCCACATGCTTCCTTCATCGTCGAATCTGCCCTGAGTGGTGGCAGTGGTGGCAGGTAGGCAAGGGAGGCACGGGAAGAAAGAAAGGGCGGCTGGGAAAGGCACGGGATGTTGGGAAAGGCAGAGGTGTCCTTGGATGGTGGTGATTGTGTCATTTGAAACGCTTTTTTCTCTCCTTGTTTCCTGCCCACTTTCGCAAATTTATTGCTCCAGACGTCAGGCCTAGCAGACCCTCAACCGATAACCGCCCAGCTGATGGAAGCCACAGTGAGGCTGGATAGTGTGGTGGCAGTGGTGGCGATGATGGTGGGATGGGATAGTGTCATCTGAAAATTTTTCTTCTTCTCTTGTCTGCCCGGTTTTTACCGTTTCGTTCCTCCAGACTTCGGGCCTAGCGGACCCTCAACCAATCGCCGCCCAGCTGATGGAAGCTGGGGTGCGGCTGGATAGAGTGGTGGCAGTGGTGGAGGCTGAGACTCTGCCAACCCTCCTTGAACAGCAGCCAATAGCGCAGCGACAGCTGGCAGCGGCTGACCTGGTTTTGCTGAATAAGTGAGTTCATGTGGCAGTGAGAAAGGGGGGAAGAGAGGAGGGGAAGGAGAAGTGGGGGGAGAAGGGGGGAAGGGAGGGGGGGATGGTGTTAGGGACAGAAGTGACCGCGCTCTCTCACAAGGAATAGGTTTAGAGGACTAGGGTGGGATGATGAGCGTGTGACATGACTGTGATGATGGGATCAAGGGCTGCACTGTGCTCTGAGATGTTTTTGCATCGTTGAGCTTACTCCACATCCCATGCCCATGTCCTATGCGCCTCATGCCATGCCCCTCGTCCCATGCCCCCTGCACCAAACCCCCCAGTACCATACCCCTCTGTGCCTTGCCCTTTTGTTCCATACCTCTCTGTCCCATGCCCCTGTGCGCCATGCGCAGGTGTGACCTGGTGTCTCTGGGTGCGCTGTCAGACGCAGAAGACATGCTACTGAGATTCCTCACCACTGGAGACGCTTTGGCCCACCCACATACCAACGACGCACACGGCACCACTCACAATTGCACCTCCTCCTCTCACACACACTCCCATCCTCCCACCTCCTCCTCCGGACAACCAGCCAGCTTGCCTCCCCCCCCTGTAGTCCGCACCCGTTACTGTCACGTCCCCTTGGATCTGATCCTAGATACTGTTCCTGTATCGCAGCCTGCTCCTCCTCTCACCTCAGCATCCGCTTATCTCTCCGCTGGCTTTCTCTCCCACGAAGCCACTGCTGCCCCCTCCTTTCGCACTCCCAATGCTCGAACTTCCTCCACCCTCACTTTCTCCTTGCACAAGGAAGGGAAAGAGCTCAGTGCAAGGCATGGAGCGAGGAGGTGCCAACTAGGTGCACCTGCACCAGGTCATGCCTCCACCCCGTTTACATCACTCCTCTTTGAGTCACAGCACCCTCTTCCGCTAGCTGCATTCCAGCACATCGTGGCCACCAGACTGCGAGGAAGAGGCGCCAGCAGCAACAAGAGTGGCAGTGGCACTGCCTCCAGCAGCACCACCACCGGGTGTGCTCCAGTGAAGGGTCTGCTTCGAGCCAAGGGCTTCTTGTTCTTCAAGGAAATGCGGTACGGAGTCACGGCAGGTGTGGCGGGTAAAGCTTTTGTGCCTGTAGTATGGTGAATGCAGGTTCCGGATTTCCAGCCTTGGGCTTCTCTCAACCTTGTTTTGGACCTCTGCTCCTCACCCATCTCATGTTTCTTTGGTTCTTTCAAACCCATCTTATCACTCTTACATTGTCTTCCCTCTTCCCTCCTCGTTTCCCCTCCTCCTGCCTCCAAGGCATCTGCGGTTTGTGTTTCAGCTGAGTGGCAGCAGCCGTTGCTCCTGCACTGCCATCGACACCTGGGACTGCCCACCCTCCTGCCGCCTCGTGCTCATTGGCCAGGACGCTGCTGAGCTGGCAGGCCTGGTGTCAGAGCTGGAATCACTCAGGGAGGATCACAAGACGGATGGTGGGGTAGAGGGTTCAGGGGATGGGGTTTCAGAGGTGGCTTGTGAAACAGGCTCGAAGAATGTGGCTGGGGAGGCGGTATGTGGGGAAGGCACAGCTGCTGCTGAGGCAGCAAGGCTTGTGGAGATGCTGACAGCAGATGAGAGATTTGAGGTGAGATGGTTGGTAATGCTGAGGGCTGAATGGTGATTGGTGAAAGATGGGTGGTGATTGATTGTGAAGCAGCTGGTGGGGTAGTGGCACTATTATTGAAAACAGTCTGAACTTACATGAAAGAATGGGAGGATATGATTGGTGTGGCTGATGTATGTGAGCTTACATAAGCGGGGTCCTCGCATGTCTTCATGTTCAAGTACCCAATCCTGAAGTTGGTCGCTGGTGTCGCATTGAACTGGACAATTCAAGATGTTGTGGAGTCTGTTCATTGTGATGATGCAGGTCCGCACATCCAAGGCAGCATCTGACAACAGAGAGGGGGAGTTAGTCACAGAGCGGCGGCAAAAATCGTGTGAGGCTTCAGTTGTGGAGTTTGGAATGAAAGGGATTCCACTCAAAGGCATCCATCAGGTACGGCGACCGTATGCATCATCAGGTACGGTGGCCTTCTTTCTTGATTAGATTGTGCTGCTTAAAAGGCTGTACCTGCAAGCATTGCTGTATACCAATTCCTTTTACAGCATTCATCAGTTGCTGTATAGGATTCCTCCGGTATGGTGAAGGCAGGCGTCCATCAGGTACAGTAAAGCTACCCTTATGTCAGGTGCGGGGTTGGGGGACTTAATTGAGTAGAGCGTGCTGCAGAGCTAGCTGTACCTGCAAATCCATTTGATGGTCTTAGCATTCTTCTGCAAGCAAAGTTTCTCGCTAACCAGAATAATTTACCTTCACGCACCGTTTGGTTATACGCAGAGCTTATCCATCAGGTAAAGTTAGGGTATGTTGATTAAGTATGGTAAAAATTCCCCAGGACGAGGTGCACCTGCAGATTCATGGAAACGTTTGTCGGTTATTGCAAGCATCAACCCTGACAGGAATACTATCCATGGAGATTCATCAGGTTGATGGTAGCCATCCAGCAAAGGTGTGCACGCAAGCATCCATCAGGTTTGTTGAGGATGAGCTTCCATCAATTATGGTGCAGTGAGTATCCATCAGGTATGTTGAAGATGAGTTTTCATTAATCATGATGCAGTAAGCATCCATCAGGTATGTTGAAATCGAGCTTTCAAATATCATGGTGCAGTAAGCATCCATCAGGTATGTTGAAGATGAGCTTCCATCAATTATGGTGCAGTAAGCATCCATCAGGTATGTTGAAGATGAGCTTCCATTAATCATGATGCAGTAAGCATCCATCAGGTATGTTGAAGATGAGCTTCCATTAATCATGATGCAGTAAGCATCCATCAGGTATGTTGAAGATGAGCTTCCATGAATCATGGTTGCAGTAGGCATCCATCAGGTATGTTGAAGACGAGCTACCATTAATCATGGTGCAATAAGCATCCATCAGGTACAGTATGTTGATTTCGAGCTTCCATTAATCATAGTGCAGTAGGCATCCATCAGATAAGATGACCTTCCATTTATCATGGTGCAGTTAGCATCCATCAGGTATGATAACGATAAGCTTCCATTCATTATTGTGCAGTAAGCATCCATCAGGTATGTTGAAACTGAGATTTAAACAATCATGATGCAGTAAGCATCCCTCAGGTATGTTGAAGGTGAGCTTCCATTAATCTTGGTGTACTAAGCATCCATCAGATATGTTGAAGATGAGATTCTGTTAATCATGGTGCAGTAAGCATCCATCAGGTACGGTATGTTGAAGATGAGCTTCCATTGATAACAGTGCAGTAGGCATCAGAGAAGATGACATTCCATTAATCATGGTGCAGTAAGCATTCATCAGGTATGATGACAATAAGCTTCCATTATTTTTTGTGCAGTAAGCATCCACCAGCCGTGCTGAAAATGAGCTTCCATTAAGTATGGTGCAACAAGCATCCATCAGGTATGTTGAAATTGAGCTTCCATTAAGTATGGTGCAGTAACCATCCATCAGCTCTGGAGGTCTTTATTAAAGAATACTGCTGCAGCATGATTCGTAACTGCACATCCACTGATGGTTTTTTGTCATCTCTTGCAAGCATAAACGAAATGATGAATCTGGCCGAAATATAAGTGTCAATCATGCACAATACCTGTGAATCCGCACAGCTGAAGGCGAATATCTTCTTTCCTGTATCATTCTCCGCATTACCTGCATCACAGAATACTCTCAATGCCTCGTTGCTGGCGTACATGAACAACCAAGCTACACAACTCGTATTCGCCTGCTCGACTCTCCCAACTCTCAACGGTGAGTATACCCTACTTACAGCAGCCGTCTTGATGTTTCTTCGCCATTTCTAGCCGTTAACATTCTGGTTGAGAAGTTAGAACAACCAAGTTAGCTACCTACCCGACTGACGCTTCAAACATGCAGCTGGGCCGTTGGTCCTGGGAATGCGAGCGTCGTCCAAGGCGGAAGTGCTCTTTGACCTGCTCTCGATCGCAGCCAGGCGGAGCTTGTCTCAGGCCCTCAAGGACGTTCCCTTATGCAGGTATCGTTTCGTTTCCAGTATTCTCTTCGATGTACTGGGAGTATTATTGTGTCAAGCCAAAGTACGCCGTTTCGAGATGTTTTTTTCAGGTGCGATGTGGTGCATGAGATGGTGAACACGAAATGACGGCACGAACATGACGACGGCTACTGGAGATGACACGACTAACGACGACCACATTCCTTCCCGTAAAACCGCTCGAGAAAGACGTTGTATCACCAACTGACATGATGACTAGTAAAGTAATCCAAGTTCAGATGTTGGTCTGGTGTAAGCTATGAGCTTCGCGTAGCTTCGTCCAAATTCCTGACCATATTAAATAGAACGATGAACTATGCACACACCGTTTGACTGACGAGCTTAGGTGCCATACATCACTATGACAGAGTATGCCTAGATGTAGGCAGAATCAAGCAGGAGTTCTGATCTTCGGCCCAGACGACTTGAAGGTTCCAGAAACACGAGGCTCCAGCTGTCAAACACGGTTTCTTGGGAATGCAATTTCTGTAATTCTGTGGCGGGCTTTTTGCTGGTTGGCTGCTTGCCACTTGGTCGGTCGTTTGCCAACAGACATTTCGCAACAACGCGGAAACGAAAAGATTTGGTGTCGCAGCACTGCCAGTTACCAGCAACCAGTCCAAGACCGAAAGGTTCCCTGCCAGTCACAAAGGAACTCGCCCAATACCCACATCAATTTCTGTTGCCGATCAGTTGGCAGAATGCTTGCTTATTGGTTGCTTGCTGCTGGCTGACTCCTTGGTTGGGGATTGACATCTCATCTCAAGTTTCGTAACAACGTGGATTGAAACGGATTTGGAGTCGGAACAGCTGCTAGTCCAGGATGAGAACTCCTCCGTGCACGAATGCGACAAGGTCAGATATACGTGACAGGTAGAAAACACAGGCTCGAGTTCCCCTCTCTGGCCAATTCAAGTTCAGCTGGAAACGAGTGCTGGGCCACGCTTGGGGCAATGCGAAGTGACATGCCACAGGTCCAGCGGTTCGCGATCCGTTCGCAACCACATTTGTTGCCATCTCTGGACTGGAGCCACCTACTCCCGTGTTGCGTCAGTGTCAGAAGGGTCTTGCATGCGAAATCAAGACTCGTCGACGACAAGCTCGACATTTCGCTGCACAAGCAGCCACTTTCGCAAATCCTCAATGGCTTTCGCCTGCACCGCAGTGTTGTAGGTCGAACCAGCAGCAAGTAACGAGGATTGTCGCACAACAATCTTCGCCAGATTTGGGCACAGCAACGAAACCTTAGCGATCTCCTCCAGCCCACATACCATCTTCGTCAGCACCAGGATCTCAAGGTCTCGATGGATGACAGCTTCGCTAGTGCCGCTGATGAGATTCCCAAGGTTACCACCAACCAGCTCCAGCACTCGCAGAGAGTAGCATTTTCGCAGAGCCATGAGGTCATCCGTTCCGAGAGCTCCACAGTGGATGCGAAGGCACGTCAATTCCCGCCATGCAATGACCATGAGGTAAATGGCTTGCTTCGACAGGCTGTTCTGGCACAAGCAGGCGAAGCTGCGGATGTGGCGGAAGCCGGAAGTGAGGTACCACATAGCCTTGTTCTCCAAGTACGTGAAGTTTCCTTGCTTTCCGTCTGAAATGAGCTCCACGCTTTCGACATTGCTGCAGTACAAGCTGCAAACGGAAACAGAACAAAGACTGTGTGAGGTTCTGAACGGAAGAAAAGGGTAAGGCATAACCAAGCAGGGAAAAAGGGCGCGATAGACCGAATTATATTGTAACTACATACTTTACGGCTGAATTCAACGCACCTTACGATCCAAAGGACGCTGCATATTGACGCCTCGTTGCGACTCGTGTTGTCCCGGTCACAGTCGATAACGATTCGACGAAGAGAGCTTCCGCAAGCCATGATGATCGGATGAAGCACATGCAGCTCGCAGCGAGGATCGTCAATATGCAGCTCCACCAGGTTCGTGCACCGTGCTGCGAGTTGTTCCACTCCTGGACGCATACTCCCAGGACCAATCCGAAGCTTGGTCCAGAAAATCTGGTTGTAAGAGAGCTCGCGCCACGTCTTATTCACGCAAGCCATGCGGCAGAGGTCCCAGGCGGTGGGCTGAGCGAGCTGAAAAATGTGAAGGAGCAAATCGTCGCCTAAGTCGGAAAGCGACGGCTTTTCTGCAGCTACTACCGGAGGTTTCGGAAGACCTAGCGTCAACTCCGTCAAGCAGTCAGATACGGCGTCGTTATCGTTGAAGAATTTGTCGCTCGAAGCGTCGGAACGGCGCGACCTTTTTGCGGCTTTCGGAGAGTGGAAATCGAGGTTGAAATTTGTGCTCCAAGGATCTACTTCACGCTTGGGAACACCCATGCCCGAGGAAATAGTGGTCGACATCGCCCAAGCTATCGCTGGTCGACTCTGCGGCTACGCTAGGCTATGTGTACGAAGGGGGTGAGCTGTTGGAGTAAAGAAATGTAGTGCGATGATGACAAATGCTAGAATGCTTTTGTTTGAATTGGAATGTTGAGCCGCAGCATCCTCCTTTTGTACTGCGCCGAGTTCCACCGCTCACCGACTGGGGGACTCACTGCAGGAACCTGACTCGCAGAACCAGAGCGGCTTGTGGGAGAAAACTGGGGCACCAGGGAACGAAAGACCCAGAACGCAACTACAGTGCTGTACCCAGTTGGAGTTGATACGATGAGCTGGGAGGTAGATCGTACAGCGGCATGACAGTTGACACGCTCGGGTGTCACAACCCTAAAAAGTAGGACCATTGAGGCTGATGCTGCGAAACAGTTGGAAAGTGCAGTGGTACGATTTGCTTTTGGGTCACAGGCTGTTGGAAAGGGCTTCCTGAAAATGGTGGCCTACCCTACAACTTGCTGCTCCTCCCACCCTACCACGCGGTGAATCTGCATCACAACTCTTCCTGCTGGAATCAGCATGGCACACGATGTCAGGTTAGGACGCAGAATCGGATGAGCAAAAAAATCTACGAGTTCCAGTTAAACGTCGTATGG